TTCAGTCCGAAAACCACAACCGGGGAGGTTGAAATCATTTGTCATAGCGATCACATCTGTCTATTGTGTGGAGACAGCTTTTTTTTGCATTGGAAGGAAAATGATAAGAAAAGTTACTACCCTACAGAGGGATGTTGTAACAGTTTTAGCATATGCACCCCTGGAGTTGAATTACAATAATTTAGTTAAAGCAACTCGAGATTTTAGCTTTTGCAACTTGTTTAGAACTGATGGTGTTGACCTCGAAAAATGGTTTAGATAAATCTTCACGTCATTTTTTCCGTACACATGATAACACACTATTAGTCACTCGTTGCTTTTTCCGGCAGGGTTGGAGGCGGCCACTAGCACACCGACGGTCAAGTCAATATTCCAGCTAAGAATGGGAAGTTAGGTATATGTTGAGAGTTATGGAAAGTTCATAAAAATTCGGAATCCTCACTCTTACCAGAAAGGGAGTATTTATACCAAGAAAAGGAAGAGGAGAGCCGTCGGATGAAGGGACGCATGGCATCAAATCTTCGAGGGCTGTCCTATCCTAGGCGTCATCCTGTCACTCAATAGGTTTGACCTGCCACATGTCCCATCAATCAGTCAAGAACTTGACTGAAGATCCCAGAAAAGATCTTGATGGGGAAGTGACGAGCCGGGGCGAATATGAAGTGCGGGCCTTTGCATCCGCCGTGAATGGCGGATGAGTTCGGTTCCTCTACAAGGTGGGGCAATGATGTCTCAGTTTGGAGTTATGGAATCAGCTCATCCGCCACGTATTCAGCTCGTCTGCCACGTTGTACGCCAGATCGGATCGGACAACACGTGGCCGATGAGGTGGGTGAAAGAGGTGGGGGGTTTCGGGAGACCCGTAACAGGTGGCTTTCGGTAAACATACAAGGCATATATATTCCCAGGCTGCCTTGTATAAGTAAAGAAGATTTCGATTGGTAGATTTTGTAAGTGTTATGCCCCAGGTCCAATCACCTTTGGATATAAACACTTTAAATAT